CATCCAGTTCAAGTATATTGGAAAGATGTGCTTACAGGCACGTGGCAGGGGCCCTCGCCAGTCATGGCCTGGACCAGGGGGGGGTTTGCATTTACCCACAGGACAAAGAGACACCTATCTGGGTCCCTGAACGGCTGGTGAAACCCGGAAGAGAGCAGAATGCCAAGGACGCTCCTGCTGCTATGCTTGAGCCTGATGATGATGACTGGACTGAGCCACATCGGAACAGTGCGTAACTTATGGGGAATATTGAAAGCATTCCCCCTCCCTCTACCTGTCAGTCATGATGCCAATATATTTCCCAGGATCTTTACTACCAACGCGTCTCTGGGACTCCCTATGATTAGATATGAAGGCCGTGTGGAACCATTTGCAATATATAATGTGACCCTCAGCAGGGCTTTATGCTTCTCTGTGAGAGATGAGACCAATGGTTCTTGTATTAATTTTATATCTAACAGTATGGGCAAATTCCAGCTGAAGTCCTGGAACAGTACCACTGGCAATGCCAGTATCCTGCAAGGAGTGGTACCAAGACTTATTTCAAAATATTCTGCTACAGACAACAGATCTGGCCCCCGCCAACCTCGCTTAGCCCCATATTGTTCCACACCTAGAGAGTGGCCAATAGTGTGGACAGGTTGCCAAGGGCTCAAAACCCTCTGGTGCCAGCGGGAAAAATACTTCACCTTCTCGCCTTATATATCCACCAATGATTCAACATTTGGAAATTATACATTTCAAGACCCCGTACTCAGTTCGCCAGAAAACCCATTTAATGAATGGGTTCTGTGTGGTATCAATGGTAGCTGCACTGATGTGAGCCCCATGAGTATGATCAAAGGTGGAAAACTTGTAAATTGCTCTTTCATGCGTAACATCAGTGGGTTGTTTGAGCAAGGGGGAGCTTTAGTAATGTGTGATAATAAAACCCAAATCCCTATGAACCCCACACCCATTTGCGTTGTTCCTCCATTCTTCTTTCTAGTTACTAATAGCAGCAACGCGACAGATTTTCTGCACTGTACCAATGAAAATTGCTTCTTGTCGAAATGCTGGAACACCACTGCATTCCCTAAGGTGGTGGTACTGTGCATGCCCACTATGCTTCCCTGGCCTGTGCAAATTAGAGACTCAGAATTATCAGTCCTGCTAAGAGAAAAACGAGATTTTGGAATTACTGCAGCTATTATCGCAGCTATAGCAGCCTCAGCAGCGGCGGCTGCTGTAGCTGCCGCCGCACTAGCTACATCAGTGCAAACAGCTGGCATGCTAAATAGCTTGTCCCAAAACACTGCACAAGCTTTATCATTGCAGGAAGATATTAATGTACAGTTAAAAGCTGGAGTATTAATGGTTAATCAAAGAGTGGACCTAGTGCAAGAGCAAATAGATATCTTGGGTCAACTCTTGCTTGTCGGGTGCATCCATCACATGTCTGGTTTATGTATAACCTCTGTTGAATATTCTAACTTTTCCAGAGCAGGTAATCTGTCACGAGAGCTCTCCATAGCTCTCCAGGGGAACTGGAGCCGAGACTTTGACAAGAAGCTCGCTGACCTGAGAGCCTCGATGGTGGCTGTCAATGCCACGAGAGTCCAGATCGCCACCATTGAAGACTGGCTGCAAACCATGCAGGGGGCTTTCTCCTTCCTCAAAGATTGGGGAGGAATGGCTTTCTGGGGCTTCCTGCTTGTAGGAGTGAGTGGTTGTTTGATTTGGTGTATGTGCAGGATGAGGCAAAAGAACGAACAACAACAAATGATGCTCATGCAGGCTATGGTCGCGTTGGAGAAAGGCGAGTCCCCCCATGCATGGTTAAGCATGATGGACCGGTAGTCAGAGACGGGAAAGACTCCCTCACGAGCATACTAACCTAAGACAGACTATCAGCCATGCTGCTGAGCAGTTGATGACAGGTAAAGATGCTGCGTGGAAGGGAGCGACCTAAGACAGGCACGGCCCAAGCACCATGTTATAAAACAAAAAGGGGGAGATGTGGCAAGCAGGCATGGCCGGAGCAGCCCAAGATGGCGCCCTGCCATTTTGCCCAGACTTGTGATCATCACCTGTTTATTCCATATGCGCAAACGCAGTGTCCCGATCACACGCGGACTGCCTGATGAGTAGTGTCAGCATGCATGATTGGGTTTACGTGACCCTACAGATTGCTGCCTCAACTGTCTGGTGTGCGCGTGTAATTCCCCTGATTGGGTCTGGCGAAAGGGAGGGCTTTTGGGGCATCTATATAACGGAAAAAACGGCGCAATGAAAGAAGAAGCTTGAACCCTACCTTGGTGTTCGTGTCGTTTCTCTTCAGCTCTGCAGGTCAGAGTTGAGGATCGCGGCAACCATCCATCCGTAACTCCAGCTCCAGTTTCCCTTCATAGGTATTGCACACATGTGGTACACTTACATATATGCAGGCAAAACACTCATACACATAATATAAAATATACACAAAATAAATACATTTTCTGTAAAAGCTTGTGCAATGCTTCCTCCTCCAGCAAGCCCTCCTTTCCTCCACCTCTCCACATCTATAGCTAGACTTCCCCTCCAGCTCGGCATCCTCATCTCAGTTGTCACTGTCTGTGGTTCAGGATGGCCAAGAACTTGTGATCCTCCTGCCTCAGTGACTGGGATTCCAGGCTCAGCTTCTGAATGCAGTCCTGAGCTGAGGCAGAGTGTTGGGGAGGGCTGAGCCCTGCAGTACCCTCAATCCTTCCTCCTGGCAGACATCAGACTTCCCAGCAGAGACACCCTTCTAGGCATTTCCCAGGAGGCCAACAAAGCCTGGGAAGGGCCTCTTGGCTCCCTATTAACTCAACCCAGACTCTCACTGACCTTTATGACCTTCTGGGGAGCCCCAGGCCATTCTTTCACTGTTGAAATCTGAAGGAATCCCCGTAGGAGGTTGGGCCAGTGGGAGGAGAGCTGGCTGGGACCAGTTGGTGAATTTCTTCTCTGAGGAGGCAGAGAGGGGAGGGGGCAGGGGCAGGAGCATACCCAACCAATCCTGATCCCCAGGCTTTCAATCTCTGCTCCCAGGTCCAGACCCACCCTCTACTCCCCCAAGATTGTGGGTTCCAGGGACCTCTTTCCTCCTCCTTCTCTTCAAGACTGGCATTCCTACCTTGGACGGAGGAGCCAGAGTCTAGGCTAAGAATGAACTTTGTGATGTCCCATTGGCCCAAGGCCAATTGTTTGTTTTTTGTTGATACATTTATTTATGTTTATGTATGTGTGGGGTATGCGTGTGAGTTTGTGGAGAACACTCAGCCTAAGAATCTGTGACTCTTTAAGGAAACAGATGACAAAAAGTCATTTATCTGGGAGAGGGAGATGTCAGTGGGTGGGAAAAGTGCATTCTGCTTGAGCAGGAGAGCCTGAGTCTGAATCCCCAGCACCCTTGTAAACGCAGGGCACAGTAGTGCATGACTGTAACCCTAGTGCTGAAAACAGAGGTGAGAGGATGCCAGGGGCATGCTGGTCAGCCAGCCTAGCCAAATTATTTAATTCCAGATTCATAAGATGGAGGGTGACAGTGGAAGATGCCTGCCATCCACCTCTAGCCTCCACACACCCAATGGAGGGTACATGTATCTACACACACACACACACACACACACACAAGCACTTTTATTAATTTGAATTTTTATTTAAATTTGTGTGTATGAGTGGTTTGCCTACATATATGCAAATACACCTGTGTTGTGCAATGCCTTTGGAGGCCAGAAGAGGGCATCGAATCCTTTAAAACTGGAGTTAAGAAGCATTGTTAGCCACCATGGGGGTGCTGGGAACCAAACCCAGGCCCTCTGCAAAAGCAACCAGTGCTCCTAACCATTGATCCATCTCTCCAGCCCCCTCCCCACCACCACCACATATTGGTGACAAGGTCTCAGTAGGTAGCCCTGATTGGCCTGGAACTCACAGAAATCCTCCTGCCTTTGCCTCCTGAGTGCTGGGATTAAAAACCTGTTGCCACCTCACCAGCTCCCCAGTATTTATTATTATTTTTATTTTATGTGTATGGATGTATTGCCTGCATGTGTGTAAGTGCACTGGTGCCATGCAATGTCCATGGAGTCAGAAGAGGGTGTTGAATTCCCCTGGAACTGGAGTTACAGACCATTGTTAGCTGCCATGTGGGTGCTGGGAATTGAACCCGGGTCCTCTGAGGCTCTTAACCACTAAGCCATCTCTCCGGCCTTGCTCCCCAGAATTTTTTAAAATTTATTTTATATAATTTATGCATGTATGCATGTGTCTGTGTAGGTATCCTTGGAATCCAGAAGACAGCGTCCGATCTCTTGGAGATGGAATTACAGGCACTGTGAGCCGCCTGATGTAGGTGTTGGGATCTAAGCTCTGATCCTCATGATTGAAAAGCAAGCGCTCCACTGAGCCATGATTTTTGTTTTTTTGAGACAGGATCTCATGTAGCCTAGTTTGGTCCTGAACTGCCCAGAATCTAGCACTTACGAAATGGAGGCAGGAGGATCACTTCAAGGTCATCCTTGGCTACAAGAGCTGCGATGAGATTCTGTCTCAAAATAAAAAAAATAAAAAAAAAGAAAAGAAAAGAAAAAGAAAAGCGGGTGCAGATGGGGAGGGTCTAAATATGATTAAGATGTATGAAATGCACAAAACTTCAATAAATATGTATATATATTGGGGAAAACGGAAAAGAAAATGAACTTTTTGAGGTTTACCTGCCCTTTTTAGAGGTTCTCTCACCAGGGGCCTGCTGTGATTTAACGACTGCAAACCCACAGCGGTATTCCTTTGGCGGAAAAAAGCAGCACCCGCTTCGGGCCTCATCCCTTCCCTCCTGGCCCCGGCCCCTGGCTCGGCATAGTTAATTCAGCCTTCTTTGGTGACTGGCCCCTCTTTGGTCTCAGCCCCGCCCCTCGCTCGCAGCCGCCCTCCTAACGCTCCTCAGCCAATCAGCACCGGGGCTCGGCCTTCGCCCTCTCAAGCCCCGCCCTCCATCTTCAATCCTAGCCGCTTCGGTCTTGGAGGCTCAGAGAGCCACGCGGCGAGACCGGGGAAGTGTCTGCTTTGCCTCTTGGCGGCTCTCCCCGCATCCCCCGGGCCGCTGCCCTTCGCACCTGGGATCTGCATCTCCTCTCCAGGACTCGAGAGCCTCCATTCACTCCTCCTAGCGCTCCAGACGCGTTACCCACGATCCAAGCGCCCCAGCCCTGGGATTCCAGGACCCAGGCATCCCGGATCCCCACCACCCGAAGAAGCCAGGCATCCCGGATCTACGCCACCTGAATTGAGCTTCCTGCAGACTCCACCACCTGGGCGCCCTGCAAGCTTCCCGGAGCCCCAAAATTCCCACGCCCCGCCCCGAGAAAAAAAAAAGCCTAGGCTCTCTCAACTCCCAGCTTTCAGGGATCCGCCACCGCCGGGGAAGAACACAGCCTCCTAGATCCGGGGACGCGCAACTAACTCCAAGTCCCCGCCCCACCCCCACCCCAGCTCCAGCCTCAACTCTCAGCCCTCAGATCCTTCCATCCCTGGGAGGGAACCCCGAGCGCGTCCAAGCCTCTAGGAGCTAAAGGAACCGATTGAAGCTCATCATGGTAGTCGATCCCCCTAAGGCCGACATCAAGGGGTTGGTGACCGTGAATCCCACCGCCAGTGGTGGCCCGGAGCTGGGTACTGGAGAGGACACAAGCGCGACAGCATCCGGCTGCTGTGGTTCCTGGGACCAGGTGCGCCGCTGCCTCCGAGCCAACCTGCTGGTGCTCCTTACGGTGGTAGCGGTGGTGACCGGCGTGGGGCTGGGCCTGGGGGTCTCCGCGGCCGGTGGCACTGTGAACTTGGCGGCCTTCGCCTTCCCCGGCGAGCTGCTGCTACGCCTGCTGAAGATGATCATCTTGCCGCTCGTGGTGTGCAGCCTGATCGGAGGGGCAGCCAGCCTGGACCCCAGTGCGCTCGGTCGCGTGGGGGCCTGGGCGCTGCTCTTTTTCCTGGTCACCACGATACTCGCGTCCGCGCTGGGCGTGGGCTTGGCTTTGGTGCTGCAGCCGGGCACCGCCGTCAGCACCGCCGTCAACTCCTCGGTCGATGCCACCGGTGTTCCCAATGCCCCCACCAAGGAGGTGCTGGATTCTTTTCTGGATCTTCTGAGGTAAGTTCCCAACGGGATCTGGGTGGGAGGGGCCCTGTGCAAGCGTGGTGGGAGTGGAGGGAAGAGTCTCTCTCTCTCTCTACATATATATGTATGTATGTTTGTCAGGCAGGGTCTGGAACAAACTATGTAGCCCAGGCTGGCCTCAAACTCGTGGCACTCTTCCTACCTCAGCTTCCAGAGTGCTGAAGCTGGGATTACCACTAAAGGCAAAGGAGGGGCTTTGGGTCTGACATAGTGAGACATCCTCTCTAGAGTCTAGGAAAATGCAAGTAGATGGTGAGAGAGGGTCTCTGACCCCTTGGAAAGATGAAGATAGACTTCTGGAAATGACTTCTGAAAACCTGAGGACCCATAGGGAGGAAGAAGGGAAAATATTTCCTATTCTTGTTGGTTTTGTTTTGGAGACAGGGTCTCATGTAGCCCTGACCTCCCAAGTGCTGGGAAGACTGACCACCATCACTCCATTACCTTGTCTGCTGTGTAGCTCAGGCTGGTCTTGAAATCTTGAGAGCTGGGATTCCAGGTGTGAGCCTCCTTGTTCAGCTTGCCAGAGGAGTAGTTCTTGCAACCTCTGTCTGAGGAAGAGCCTGAGGGGCACTCCACACTTCACAGACACAAAACCAAACTGTTTGCTGCCCCACAGGAGGAAACTTCTAGATAGCAAAGGGCACTAAGTTGGGGCTTTGAATAAAGATTTGGCCCAGGGTTAGAGGCCTTTGAACTCTGTTGTCAGGAGTCTGTGGAGGCCCTGAGGGAATTGAGGAGCCCCTCTCTTCCTGGTAATAATAAGACTGTCCTCTCCACGTGTCACCTGGACTTAGCCAGGTCTTTTCTTGTCTCTTCCCTATTGGTTCAGCTGGAACCAGGCAGTCTCCCTTTCTATCCCATCATCTCTCCTCTGTCTGGCTCTCTCTTAGTAGGCCCCCTCAAAATGGGAACAGATCTACAGGGGAGTTAACTTTTTCTACTGCCCTACCCCTCTTTGGAAAACTCCAGACTTTGGGGTCCACATGGCCTTACCATGAGGGCCTCTGATTCAGAGTCTTCAGATTGGGGACTTCCTGGAAGGAAAAGGTGGAGGGGAACAGTGAGTCAGGAAACAGGGTGTCTTCCACCTCTGGGCCAGAGTGTGGCTGAAATGGGAGAGTCCCAGGGCTTGGCGTCTATAGTTGAGTACCTCCTGGCTGCTGGAGATTAGCTGGGTCCTGGGGCCCTACCCTGAGCTGTAAGTAGACACACCTACCCCAGGCTGTGTATGAACACAGGCCTTTCCCTCCCACCTAGGATCAAAACAGTTGAATCTCACACTCACTTGGCTGGCCACCCTCAGACTTGGCCAGAGCACGTCACAGGCACACAGCATTATAACCAGTTTAACAACAAGGTAGATAGACACAGGCACACAGAAACACACATGGCCTTAAACTAGCTGTGATGCACTTGTCCAGCTCTCTTCAGCTGACCCACTGTCAGTGATGGGCCACACAAAGGCCTTAAGTCCATATTCAAGAGGATGGGGCAAGCCCCCAGCACTACAGGAAGATCTGGAGCTCTAGGCCAGCCTTAGCTACATAGCAAGTTCAAGGTCAGCCTGGGCTACATGAGGACACACACACACACACACACACACACACACACACACACGCAGACAAATAAAGATCCCATCTCTGTTACTTTCTACTTGGTCAATTTTCTTGCCTTTCTGAGCCTCAGATTCCCCTTCTGGTTTGTGTTTTATTTTTTTTATGGATTATTGAAACATGGTCTCCCTATGTAGCCCTGGCTGGCCTTGAACTAGAAGGAGGAGTCCTCTGGTCTGTGCCAACACACCTGAATCCCCTTTTGCAAAAGGAAGGCTTTGACTGGCATTAGCTGCCTGCCCGGCACAGGGCAGACTGCACTGTCACACCCCAGGAGTCCTGTAAGGACAAATGCGTATTTATGACACAAACAGCCGCCCCTTGTCACAAGTTCTTAACTTCTCACTGCCACGTTTCAACACTCCAGGATCTTCCCCTACACCCTCCGACCCACCACCGACCTGCCCCTCAGGATCACCCTGTCCTCAACCCTTCAGGAAGTAGCTGATGCAAGCCGCCCAGGATATTAAGTTGGCAGTCTGGGGTGGAGCTGAGGCGTGGTGTGACCCTGCCCTTGCCAGCCTGTCTCAAGCCCAACATTTGTTATTTCCAACCCACAATCCCTTGGGTCTGAAACACCAGCTTCCTGGGGCCAGAGGAGTTCAGTTCAGACTCCCATACACTGAAAAGGGGTGTAGACCTGGTCCAACAGCCTGGCCGGAACCCTAGCTGTGAGTTGAGGGGACCTCAAAAATTCCTATCACTGCCAGACCTAATGGTACAGAACTATAAAACTACTGAGGAGATGGCTCATTGGTTAAGAGCACTGGCTGCTCTTTCAGAGAACCTGGGTTCGATTCCCAGCACCCACATGGCAGCTAACAATGGTCCAGGTGTTGACACCCTCTTCTGACCTCCGAGGGTACTACATGACCTGTCTCAAAAAGTAAAAGGACAACCGAGAATGTAGCTCAGTGGTAGAGTGCTTGCATAGCACAGACAAGGTCCTGGGTTCAATCTCCACTACTGCAAAATGGCGGTGGGGGATGAGGAGGCCGAGAGGTGGCTCAGCTGGTTAAGGAATCTGCCTCAGCCTGATCACCTGAGTTTCAGCTGAGGACCCACAGGATAGATGGAGAGAACCAACTCAAGTTGTCTTCCGACTTCAACATCAGCAGTGTATACACATACAAATTAAGTAAATAAATGTAATATGTATGTGTGTATGTATAAAGCTGTGTGTTGTGAAGACCATGTCTGTGATCCCAGCATTTGGGAGGTAGATGCACGAGAACACCCAAGGTCACTCTTAGATGCATATTGAGTTCAAGGCCAGCCTGGGCTTCAGGAAACCCTTTCTCAAACAACCAAGAAAGGTTCCTATAACTACCCTCAAAGAGGCCAGCCCTGCCCCCAGACAGCCCCTGGCTTCTCTCTCTGTTATGACCTAACAACTGTCTGTATGTCTATTTCTGCAGGAATATCTTTCCCTCCAGTCTGGTGTCTGCTACATTCCGTTCTGTGAGTCCTGAGGGGCTGGGGGCTGGAGCTGGGAGTGAGCGGGAGAGAGGGAAAATGCATGTAGCAATTTGTACATTGTACATCTTGGGTAGCTGCTGAGACTCATTCATACATTTCCCATTAAGAAATGAGAATGTGGAGCTGGGCTTGGTGACACACCTTTAATCCTAGCACTCGGGAGGCAGAGGCAAGGCAAATCTAAATAAGTTCAAGTTTTTTTAATGAAATTTTAAAAAAGAATGAAATGAAAACATGGTGAGACTGGATAGAAGCCTTCCGGTGATACCAGCCTCTGGGAAGTCTGAGGAAAGACTTCCATCTCTGGGTTTCATAAGGAGATGCTGTCTTAATAAATTAGGCGGACATTGTGGCACACACCTGTGATCCCAACACTTGGGAGTTGGAGGCCAGAAGATCAGGCGTTCTTGATCATCCTCTACAAGAGACCCTGTCTTAAAAAAGAAAGGAGGTGGGGACTGGGTGTGGTGGCGTACACCTTTAATCTCAGAACTCTGAGAGATCGAGGCCAGCCTGATCTACAGAGTGAGTTCCAGGATAGCTATGGCTACAGGGAGTCCGTCTCAAAAAGAAAAAAGTTTAAAAAAGAAAGAATGCAGCCGGGCGTGGTGGCGCACGCCTTTAATCCCAGCACTCGGGAGGCAGAGGCAGGCGGATCTCTGAGTTCAAGGCCAGCCTGGTCTACATAGTGAGTTCCAGGCCAGCTGGGGCTACAGGGAGACCCTGTCTCAAAAATACCCAAAAAAAAGAATGCTTGGGGCAGGTTTGGGGTATTGTTCTGGTGTGGTGTGAGGCAGCCTTGATTACAGGTGACACTGGCCTTTCTCATCCCATCTTCAGTATGCTACATCTTACGAACACATAGGGATCAACGCTACAGCCTGGAAGGTGAGTAGGGGATGGGCGGGAGGGTCCACAGAGCCTTGCCACTAACCCACCCTTTTGGCCACTAGCCAAAAACTGTGGCTTTTGAGTTTGCCCTACTGCCTACCGTTTGTATTTTGAGTCCTCCAAAAGTGTGAAATTTGATTTAAACTCTGAAATCCTTGGGGTTGGAGGTGTAGCTCAGTTGGTAGAGTGCTTGCCTAGCCCTGGGTTCAATCCCTAACACATCAGAACCAGACAAGGTGGTACTCAGCTCTGGGGGGAGGGTAGGGAAAACCAAGAGTATCAGGAGTTGAAGGTCAGTCATCCTTGGCTATGTGGGAAATACTAGGGTAACATGGGCTATGTGAGACTGTCTCAAAAAGAAAAAGGAAAGGATGCTTGAGGCAGGTTTGGGGTGTTGCTGCTCCCAGAATCCCTTGGGGAGGCCTTGACAACAATTGACACTAACTCTTCCAACCCCATCTATAGCCTCCTGTTGGCTGTGCACAGAGAAATATCAACGCAACCACAGTGCAGGTGAGCTGGGTTAGGGCTGAAAGTCTCACGACTGGCCCGTGGTGGCTTTTCAGTTTTACCGAAGAGTATAGTGTGAAATTTGATTTAAAGTCTGCAATCCTTAAAGCTGGGGATTTGGCTCAGTTGGTAGAGTTTGTCTTAGTGTGAATGAAGCCCTGGGTTTGATCTCCAACACCGCATAAATCACTAGTGGTGGACACCTGTGATCCCAGCACTAGGGATGAGAACGCAGCAGGATCAGAAATTTAAGGTCACCTTCCGACACATGGAGTTTGGAGGCCAGCCTGGGCTACAAGAGACCCTGTCTCAAAAAAACCCACCAAAATTCTATGGCACATAAGCAGGAACAACATTCATACACATAAAAATAAATGAAAAATTTTTTTTTAATTCTGAAATTCTTTTTTTGTTGTTTTTGAGACAGGGTCTCCCTGTAGCCCCAGCTGTCCTGGAACTTGCTTTGTAGACCAAGCTGGTCTCGAACTCATAGTAATCTGCCTACCTCTGCCTCCCAAGTGCTGGGATTAAAGGCGTGCACCGCCACACCAACAATTCTTACTATCTCCTGTGGTTCTAAGGTTCCCTGCTGAGCCAATTCCTCCCCGCCCCCTCCCCAATTCTCTCACTGGTGGTAGATTCCACCCTTCCCCCAGCCTATCCCACCCTAGAGGGTCCTCCCACAGAGCAGATCTCATCTGTTAATTACATAAGTGCTGGAATCCCAACTCCATTCCTAATGATTACGCAGCAAGTACTCTTTAACTGTTCAGCCATCTCTCCAGCCGACTACCCTTCTTTTTTGGTTCCCTCTTCCTGTCCCCTAGGCACTGTTCAGATGCCTTTTCCTGTAGGAAGTTCTCCCCGGACCACCCCATTTCCTAGTTGACACCTCAGTTCTGACCTCCCTTGGGTACCTCTGTTCTAGCCCCGCACACCCAGGGTGACCCCTGATCTAGTTCCTTGGGCCTTGGCAGTGTCTAGGACAGGTCCCCAGTGGCTGTACAGATGGGCTAACGGTCTCTCTCTTCAACCCGCTCTGTTTCTTCCCCAAAGCTGGGCTGTGAGGTGGAGGGCATGAACATCCTGGGTCTGGTGGTATTTGCCATCATTTTCGGCGTGGCCCTGAGGAAGCTGGGGCCTGATGGTGAATTGCTTATCTGTTTCTTCAACTCCTTCAATGATGCCACCATGGTTCTGGTCTCCTGGATTATGTGGTAGGTGGTGGGGAGAAGGGCTAGGGCACGTCTGTTATGTGGTGTGGGGGACCCACATCCCCTGCTCCCATCTATTCCTGGAGAGCCTGAGGGACCTGCATCAAATCCAGTGCACACCGTTCCCTGGTTGTGTGGCTTTGGACAGGTGACCTGTTGTCTCCCTCCCTCAGTGGCAGTGCTGTATTCTGTGGCTGCTGGATTGATGCACTTGCCCTTTTTGATCTTACTAGAAGGTGATGAAAGACAGCCAAATTATAGCCACTGCTTGGCTGATGCATCAGAACTTTATAGGTTCCAACATGGTAATAACACATTATCCCCTTTGATTTAATCATCCAAAGCAACGTGTGCCTCATTGGGTTGTCATAAAGAATAAATGAGTCACAGAACACAGGGCCAAGACATGACTCAGTCTGAGAGCACTTTCTTAGCATGTGCAGAGAGTGCCCTAAAGAACAAAATGAACTGGACATGGTGGCGCATACCTTTAATCCCAGCACTTAGGAGGCAGAGGCAGGCTTATCCCTGTGACAAGGAGGCCAGCCTGGTCTACATAGTGAGTTCTAGGCCAGCTAAGGCTACAGAAAGACCCAAAACATATGACGTCTCCACAGATTCCAACAAAGAAGGACCTGTTGTGCTCACTGTGTCTCTTTTTGTTGTGTTGGTAAGATAGGGTCTCACTACATAGCCGAGGCTTGCTGTGAACTCAAGATGTTCCTGCTCTGGCACTCAAGTGATGGGAATATAGGCATCAACACCATGCTTTTATGAGTGTAGAGCTGGGAATCTGACCCAGAGCCTGGTAAATGCTAAGTAAGCACTGTACTGCTGAGTGAAGTGCTGGGGCATTCTAGGCAGGTGCTCTACCACTGAGCCACACCCCAGCCCCTCACTGGGGGATTCTAGGCAGGGGCTCTACCACTGAGCCACACCCCAGCCCCTCACTGGGGGATTCTAGGCAGGGACTCTACCACTGAGCCACACCCCAGCCCCTCACTGGGGGATTCTAGGCAGGGCCACACCCCAGGCCCTCGCTGGGGGATTCTAGGTAGGGGCTCTACCACTGAGCCACACCCCAGCCCCTCACTGGGGGATTCTAGGCAGGGACTCTACCACTGAGCCACACCCCCCAGCTCCTCACTGGGGGGTTCTAGGCAGGCTCTACAAATGAGCCACAACCTTGCCATGTGTATGTGTTGATTAATACAAGCCCTGTGCTGGAGTAGCCAGGTGATAATGTGGGTAAGAACAAATTTCTGCTGCCATAACTAGCCCAATTTCCCACCCTGGTGCTGCCCTTTCCCAGCTGTGTGACCTACGCCAAGTTAGACTTAACTTTCCTATGCTTTGGTTTTTCTACCTAGAAAATGGGGCTCTAACAGCAGACTCAAAAAGGACACAAACGAGTTAATACAGGTACTGTTCTTGGGACAGTGTCTCATCTGTAGCATTCCCACAGTAAAACAATGGAAAATATTTGTTTAGGCACTTGTGCTTGCAGAACTTCTGGGCAAGTCCGGGTGGCTATGATTTGAACCACTGGCCCCATGTAGATGCACAGGTGACCAGGCACTGATGCTTTTCTTTCTTTTTCTTTTCTTTTAATTTTATGTATTTGAGTGTATTGCCTCCATATGTGTAAGTGCAATGTGCAGTGCCCACAGAGGTCAGAAGAAGGTGTCAGAACTGGACATATGGACAGTTGTTAGCTACCATGTGGGCGCTGGGAATCAAACCCGAGCCCTCTACAAGAGCAGCCAGTACTCTTAAATTAACTGTTGAGCCATCTCTCCAGCTCCATTGGTGCCTATCTTTTGTGACAAGCCAGAAGGGACTGGGAAGGCAATCAACCATGGCAGCCAGGAAGGATATTGGGAAACCTGGCTGACCACGACACCCTGGGGTCTTTGCTCTAGTATCCTATGCTTCCCAGCTAGTGTCCCACTTTTTCCTCTAGCAGTTCCTGGAGCAATATAGTCCCTGGCTGGTTTTCTTTCTTTGTTGTGATGGAGACTGAAAGTAGGGCCTAGAGCTACTGCTGAACAATGCTGAAGCCCCTCACTGGGGGATTCTAGGCAGGTGCTCTACCACTGAGCCACACCCCAGCCCCTCACTGGGCCATTCTAGGCAGGTCTTCTACCACTGAGCCATACCCCAGCCCCTCACTGGGGGATTCTAGGCAGGTGCTCTACCACTGAGCCACACCCCAGCCCCTCACTGGGCCATTCTAGGCAGGTGCTCTTCCACTGAACTATATCCCTAGCTCTCTTTTTCCTTTTTAAGACAAGGTCTCATAAAGTTGCCCAACCTAGCCTTGAACTTGTGATCTTCATCCCTCATCCTACCAAGTAGCTGGGATGACAGGGTTGGGCCACCACTCTCAGTTTAACAGTTCCTATTTTATATATCTGTTCAGTGTTTGACTCTATGCTAGCTCTGACAGACATGTTTATATTATAGTAAGAGTTGCCTGTCAATCAGTCATAGTCAAGCGTTCAGGGTATGTTGCAAATACCTCAGACCTGGGAGTTACTGTGACCCCATCACAACCATTTATTTTTTCTAATGTGTTAAGAGTGTATTAGTTCAAGTTACACAAGCTGCTATAACAAGCAAACCCAGCAAGCAAATGACTCACAGGTGATGGACACTTCTTCCTCTCATTCATGGTCAAGTCTCAATCTGAGGATACAACTCGAAGCAGTGATGAGAGTGCCGGGGCTTTCATCTCTCAGCTGTACCCACTTCAAAGGCCTGGAGCAAGCAGCCATTCTTGGACAGTGCCCTGGGCAACCCCAGATGGGGTGGGGAAGGTTAGGAAGTGTGGTCAGCTGTGGTGCTGAGCACAAAGCTAGGCTGTAATAATCACGTGTTCAACAGCAGTAATCTGTCTCTGGGATGATTAGGTACGCTCCCGTGGGCATCTTGTTCCTGGTGGCCAGCCAGATCCTGGAAATGGAAGATGTGGGCCAGCTCTTCATTGACCTTGGCAAATACATCCTGTGTTGCCTGCTGGGCCACGCCATCCACGGGCTCCTGGTTCTTCCCCTCCTCTACTTTGTCTTTACCCGCAAGAACCCCTATCCCTTCCTGTGGGGCATCATGACGCCGCTGGCCACAGCCTTTGGGACCTCTTCTAGGTGGGCTTTTTGTGTGTATTAAGGGAGCTAGAGTGGGCATTGGGTGTCTGAAGACCTGAGATTTTGTCTGGTGACACATGCTGCAATGTGGGTGTGGAGATCAGAGAGCAATCTCGGGTGTGGGTCCACGCCGCCTACCTTATGACATTCTCTGGTTTTCTGCTGTGCTTCCCTACTCTAAGCTAGCTAGCCTTCAGTTATCTCCACATAGGATGGAGATTACCAACACTTGTAATATGTGTCTGCTCTTCATGTGCGTCTGGTGATTTGAACTCGGGCCCTCAAGTTTGTACAGTAAGAGCTTTTACCTACTGAGCAATCTCCACAGCCTTTTTTGCTTTTTTAGGGGAAAACAAATGTATTACATTTATTCCTGTGTGTGTGCATGCACACACCATGACGCATATGTAGAGGTCAGAGGACAACTTGAGAGAGCTGGTTCTCCTTTTATACTCTATGGGTCCCAGGGATTGAACTCAGGTTATCAGGCTTGGTAGCAAGTGCTTTTACCTGCTGAGCCATCTCACTGGCCCCATTTTTCTCTTTGTGGACTTGGGATTGAAACTAGAACCTGGTATATGTTTAAAAGCACCCTACCTCTGAGCCACACATAAAGCCTATAACTGGCAGGTTCTAGCCAAGTATTCTACCACAGAGCTGTTTTGAGATCTCACTATTTTAGTTCAAATTGACCTTGAACTTTGAATACTCCTCTTTTAACCTCCCAAGTGTTTGGGTTACCAGTATGTTTGGCCACATCTAGATTTTTGCAGGCATATGGAGAGGTAGCACACTGTTCCCAGGGCTGTCCAAGACTCACATTTTGGAATTCTGCTGTTTAGCAGGAGCCACAGTGCCTTTTGCCTTGCTACAGGAAGAACATGGAAAGCTAGCAGGGGAGATCCTCTGCATGGTGGGAGGAAAGGGGGTTTGGGCAGGTGGGCAGGGTCTTAGAGTGATGTGGGCAGAGCTATGTGGTAGATGGGAAACATCAAGTGAGGGTGGGCGGAGCCTTAGCAGTCCAGGAGCGCTCACCATGTGGCCTGCACCCCTGCAGCTCTGCCACGTTGCCCCTGATGATGAAGTGCGTGGAAGAAAATAACGGTGTGGCCAAACACATCAGCCGCTTCATCCTGCCCATCGGAGCCACGGTCAACATGGATGGCGCGGCCTTATTCCAGTGCGTGGCAGCTGTGTTTATAGCACAGCGCAATGGACTGCCCCTGGACTTCGTGAAGATCATCACCATCCTGTGAGTACAAAGCTACTGTGGTTGGGATCCCTGGAGCTCTAAAGTTTTCCAGCACAAACTGCAGCTGCCTCACCTCTCTCTTCCTCTTGCTCCACAGGGTCACAGCCACTGCATCCAGCGTGGGGGCAGCAGGTATCCCTGCAGGGGGTGTCCTTACTCTGGCCATCATCCTGGAAGCAGTCAGCCTCCCTGTCAAGGACATCTCCTTGATCTTGGCGGTGGACTGGCTAGTGTGAGTAAGGTCTGGGGAGGCGATGATGAGTGGTTCCTTGGGGATGAGGATGAGCATGTGAGCGTTTCTGGGTAGAGAAGGATATTAGGGAAGTGGTAGAGGCATCATGTAGAACCTTGATCCTCCCAAAACATAGGAACAGTTAGCATCTTTGAGGGTCCATGTTATTTATTTATTATTTTTATGTGCATGATGAGGGGACAGGTGCCACAGGGGTTGTCAGTTTTCTACTGCATTTATATGGATTCTGGGAATTGAACTCAGGCGGCCAGGCTTGTGCAGCAAGCACCTTTACCTGCTGAGCCATCTGGCTAACCCCTATTTCATTGTTTCGTTTTGGGGTCTTTTTGGTTTTGTTTCTTTGATTTGTTTTTTGATGTTTGTTTTGAGACAGGGTCTCCCTGTAGCCCCAGCTGACCTAGCACTCCCTAGGTAGACCAGGCTTGCCTTAATCTCACAGAGACCCACCTGCCTCTGCCTCCCTAGTGCTGGGATTAAAAGCGTGTGACACCATGTCCTGCTGTTTACTTTTTGCAACTAAATCTCACTATGTTTCCTTGATACTCACTGATACTCACTGTAGTCCAGGCAATGCACAACCCCCCTGCCTCAGACTCCACAGTTTTGGGATTACAGGTGTGAGCCACTATACCTGGCCATCTTTGAGATCCTATGAGGAATCCCAGAAAGGTGGTGAACCAGGTAGCTAGCAGCCATGACTCCCAGACCAGGCAGCCTGGGTTCAAAGCCTGCTGCTGTCATCATGGCCATGTGACTTTAATCCTCCTAGGTCTTAGTTTCTCCTGTGTATAATGGGTAGAAGAGGAGCCTGAAAAGAGAGCTTGGTCAGTATATTGACTGCTACTACAAAGTATGAGGCTCTGAATTTGGATTCCCAACACCTACGTAAAACCCAGGCCTGGCAGAGACAGGGGGAGCCCTGGGGCTCCTTGACCAGCTAGTCTAGCTGAATTGATGAGCTCTAAGTCCATTTTAGAGTGAGACACTGCCTCCACAAGTAAGAGAGCAATGAAGGAAGACACCGATGTCAACCTCCAGACCTACAGATGTCAACACACATAGACCATTCATGAAACGGAGACAGAGGCTGGGCTAAGCATGATGGCACACAGTTCTGATGAGTCTCTGCTTTGGGAGGCTGAGGTCAAAGAATCTGGAGTTCAAGACCAGCCTGGACTATATAGTAAGACCCCATCTCAAAGCAGAAAAATTAGGGCTGGAAAGATGTTTAGTGGTTAAGAGCATGTACTGCTTGTCCAGAGGACCCAAGTTCCATTCCAGCACCCATATCATGCCGCTCACAGTAGCCTGTAACTACAGCTCCAAGGGTCTGATGCCCTCTTCTGGCCTCCACAGGTACCCACATGCAGGTAGTGCATACACATAAAATTTTTTTTTAATTTTTTTTAAACAAATTATAATGTATAACCTCACTTCAGAGAGCTTCCCCCTAAGATAAGTACAGGTGCCCTCAACTGAGAGTAGTTAAGCAAAATGTCTTGTACGGTAGAATTATGATTCAGTGATCAGGGAATGAAGCACCGAGCTTGGTAGCTCCTGTCTGTAATCCTAGCACTAAGGAGGTTGAGGCAGGAGGATCATGATTCTGAGATCAGCCTGGGCTACACAGAGAGTTCTAGGCTAGACATTGTCTCAAACAAACAGCAACAACAGTGGGGTGTAGCTCAGTGGGTAGAGTGCCTACCTAGCATGCACAAAGTCCTGGGTTCAATCCCTAGCATCCCATAATCTAGGCATGGTGGTACCTACCTGTAATCCCAGCACGGGGAGTTAGAGGTAGAAGGATCAGGAGTTCAAGGTCATCCTCAGCTACACAGGGAGTTCCAGGCCAGCCTGGGCCTTTGCAGAAGGAGAGGGGCCTAAAAGCCTCATCTCTTTGAGGGCCCTAAAGGGGAAGGATGAATTTGAAGTTTTAGAAGGAGCCTCCAATATGTGTTTAAAAAGGACCTTTGTTTTTTTTTTCTTTTTGAGAAATGGTCCTATATACCATGCTAGCCAGGAACTCACCATGTAGCCCATGCGATGGTGGCCTAGAGCCACCTCCTGCATGCTGGGTTCATAAACATGTTTCACTATGCCTTGATCATGCAGCACTGCAAAAACATCTAAAATGGGCTGGGTAGATGGCTCAGTGGGTAGGAACGCATGCTAAGCAGACATCAGGAGTTCAAATCCCCAGCCCCCATAGAAAAAGCCAGGTACGACCATACTTGTGCCGGGGGGGTTGGGGGGTGGGGGCGTTCACTGGGGCTTGCTGGCCACCAGCCTAGCTCCAGTTTCAGTAAGAGACCCTGTGTCAGAGAAATGAGGTGGAAATTGATAGGGCAAAACTGTGAGTTCAAGGCCAGCCAGGGTGACACAGCAAGTTCCAGCCTAGCTAGGACTACATAGTAAGACCCTATCTCTAGAATAAAGGGAAAAAAAATTCTGTGGAGGAAGGCAGGACACATGGGCCCTGGCCTTCTATGCCCTCTTCCTGCCCTCTCACATGTTGTCTCTTGTACTCTTTCAGGGACCGGTCCTGTACTGTCCTCAACGTCGAAGGTGATGCTTTTGGGGCAGGACTACTTCAGAATTACGTGGATCGTACGAAGTTGCAGAACTCAGAGCCCGAGTTGATCCAGGTGAAGAGTGAGGTGCCCCTGAATCCACTGCCCGCCACCATCGAGGAGGGGAACCCCCTCCTCAAACAGTATCGGGGACCTGCTGGAGATGCCACCTCCTGTGAGAAAGAGTCTGTCATGTGAATTCCAGGAGGGACCTTTCATTCCCTACTGGGGTCCCATTGGAAGTAGGGATCACAGGGCTGGAAAACCAGACCAACATGGGCTCCAGAAGCAGACTGCTTCCACACTGGGGAGCCAGGGGTTCCTGTCTCCTTCCTGGACAGGATATTAATTTAAGAGCCTTGTTCCTGGGGTGTGCATATTTACAAATGTGTCCACAAATCTCCCATCCTCAACTCCTCTTTCCCTCTCAAGAAGATAGTATTCCCACCATCCCAGAGCCACCCAGCCTTACCCAAATCAGGACACAGTACCATGTAGCGTTCTCTACCCTTTGAGATGTGATGGTATTTTGATGGTGATAGCGGTGTGTGTGTGTGTGTGTGTGTGTGTGTGTGTGCGCGCGCGCGCGCACGCACGCGCTTGGGGAGTGTTCTGGATAGCTTTAGTGTCAACTTGACACATCTGGGTTGAGGGAGCCTCATTTGGGGAATTGCCTCCATTTGTGTTCTGTGACCTTCTGGTACATCCCTGTCTACTGGCTCTCTGATCCTTTATGATAACAAACACTCCCAGGGTTCCTTGGGAAAGTCAAGGATAAATATTGTCACTCCAAAGGACATTTTTTAGCAATAAAATTGTGTACTTGGCTCAGGGCTGGAGAGATGGCTCAGCAGATAAGAACACTGACTGCTCTTGCAGATGACCCAGGTTTGATTCCAAGCACCCCCATGGCGGCTACAAACCATCCTTAATTCCAGTTCCAGGGGTATCCAAAGCCCTCTTCTGACCTCTGCAGCATTGTACATCATGGGTGCACTCACATACATGCAGGCAATACACTCATACCATAAAAATAACAAATAAAAAAAATTTTTTTCTTTTGGTCTTTTTGAGACAGGGTCTCTCTGTAGCCCCAGCTGTCCTGGAACTCACTATGTAGACCAGGCTGGCCTTGAACTCACAGAAAAAGAGTACTTGGCTCTTCAAGAAGACCTGAGTTCAGCTGGCTGTGGTGGTGCACACCTTTACTTCCAGCACTCAGGAGACAGAGGCAGGCAGATCTGATTTTGAGGCCAGTCTTGTCTACATAGCAAGTGCCAGGCCAGCTAAGGCTACAGGGAGACCCTGTATCAACCTCCCCACCAAAAAGACCCAGCACCTACATTAGGTTCCTCACAACCATCTGTAACTCCAGTTCCAGGAGATCCCAATGCCCTCTTCTGGCCACTGTGGGCACTTGCGCACACACAGTATATACTTACATATAAAACATATGTAAATAAAAATCAAAATTTTTTAAGCATATTTGAGGGAAAATTGGAGTTTAATTAGAGATGAGACAGATCACAATTATGTTTCAGTTTTTTAGTTTTTGAAAATACTTTTAAAGAAACTTTTTATTTTTATTTTTTATGTGTATGTGTGTATTGCCTGCGTGTAGGTAAGGGTGCCCATGTTGTGCAGTGCCCAACAAGGACAGAAGAGGCTGTCAAATGCCCTGGAACTTGAGTTACAGATAGTTGTTAGCTGCCATGTGGGTGCTGGGATTCAAATCCGGGTCTTCTGCAAGGACATTCAGTGTTCTTAACCACTGAACCATCTCTCCAGCCCCTAAAAATACCTTTTTAAAAGTTATTGCTGCTGGGCGTGGTGGTGCACACCTTTAATCCCAGCACTTGGGAGGCAGAGGCAGGCAAATCTCTGTGAGTTCAAGGCCAGCCTGGTCTACATAGTGAGTTCCAGGACAGCTGGGGCTACAGGGAGACCCTGTCTCAAAAAGACCAAAAAAAAAAAAAAAAAAAGCAAAACGGAAAGAACACAAAAAAGAAAAGTTATTGCTAGGAAACCAGCAATACAACTCAGTAGCACCCTTGTTATACAAGGTGATGAACGCCTGATGAGCTCTGTTTCATCCTCAGATCCTAGTAAAGGTGGAAGGAGAGGGTCAACTGCATGAAGTTGTCTTCTGACCTCTGCACACCCACCATGACATGTCAAAAACCATTGTTGGTCTGGGCATGGGGACACATGCCTACTTGTACTAGAGCCTTTTAGACAAAGCAAATAATGTATTACTTCAGAAAGACTAATGAACCTAAGCTTGTAAAATTAGTACATTTTACCCTCACTATAGGCAAATCTTAAAATCTTGTACAGGGGCTGGGTGTGTGGCTCAGTGGTAGAGCACTTGCCCAGAATCCCCCAGTGAAGGGTTGGGGATATGGTTCAGTGGTAGAGCACCTGCCCAGAATCCCCCAGGCCCTCAGTGGTATTGTCCTACCATATATGAGGTCATGGCTCCATCTCCAGAACCTGGGGGAAAAATTTGAACAACTTCTAGAAAATTCATTTTCCATTGCAACTCCCTAGCAGTATACTAATCCCTCACTCAGCATTTGAACCATCACTATCCCACAACATAATAACTTGCACTTTTTTTTAGGATTTATTTTATTTATTTTTATTTTATGTATATGAGTTTTTCCTGCATGTATGTAAGTGCACCACATGCATGCAGTGCCTACAGAGGCCATGAGCGTATCAGATCCTCTGGATCTGGAGTTAGAGATGGTTGTTTTGCTGCTATGTGGGTGTTGGAATTTGAACCCAGGTCCTTTGCAGGAGTAACTAGTGCTCTTAATTGCTGAGCCTTTCTCCAGCCCCTTTTAGGATTTAAAAAACAGATATCTATTTTGGGAGCTGGAGCTCAGCAGTTACGAGCACCGGCTGCTCTTGCAGAGAACCCCAGTGGTTTAGTTCCCAGCTCCCACATGACTTCTAACAACCATCCATAACTCCAGTTCCAGGGATCTGACACCCTCTTCTGACCTCCACAGGCATTGCACAACCAGGGTGCACTTACATACATGCAGACATTCATACACATAAGATAAAAATAATAAATTAAAAAATATTTATTTTTATGTGTATGAGTGCCTGCCTGCATAAAAGTGCACCATGTGTGTGCAGTGTCTGCAGAGGCCAGAAGAGGGCATCGTATCCCCTGCATCTGGAGTTAAGGACTGTGTGGGATGCTGGAAACTTATCCCAGGCTGTCTGCATGAGGAACCAGTGCTCTTTTATTAAAAAATATTTTCTTTTTTTTAATTTTTATTTTGTGTATGAGCAATAATCCCTGCTGTAGGTAGGTGCACCCATGTCATGCAGTGCCCTCAGAGATCAGAAGATGGCATTGGATCCCCTAGAACTGGAGTTAAGGATGGTTGCTAGCTGCCATGTTGGTACTGGGAATCCAACCCAGTCTTTTGCAAGAGCAGCCAGTGCTCTTAACTGCTGAGCCATCTCTCCAGTCCTGGAACCAGTGCTCTTAGCAGCTGAACCATCTCTCCAGACATTTTTTTTTTCTTCTGAGATAGTCTCACTCTGTAGTCCTTGCTTTGAGCCTGCTATGTAGACCAGGCTAGCCTTGATTTCACAGAGATACACCTGCCTCTGCCTCAGAGTGCTGGTATTAAAGGCATGTGCCACCATGCCCAGTGGGTTTTTTTTTTTTTTTAAGACAGGTATTCACTATGTAGTCTTGAACTCACAGACACAGAGATCCTCCTGCCTCTGCCTCCCGAGTATGTGCAGCCTGAGGGCTCTGCCACAGTTTCACACTTGTTCAAATGGGATCCTGCGTGTCTAAGCATCTTGGACATGGATGCTGACTTCCCCTTCCCAGTTTCCTGGAGGCTCCACCAGCTCGAGTCCTCATGTAGATGGAATCTTGAGTATCTTTAGCATGATTTTGGTTGTTATCCCTGTGGTCATTATGAAGTAAAGGTACTAGCATTCATAGCTGACTGTGCCCTATCTGTGGTTTACACAGACAGCACTAATGAGTTTAATGTTAAATAATTATGTAATTGATGTTTTAAATGCTTTCTATTATACCACAATCCTTAGAGGGTTGTAATAAGAGTTTAAGAATGTTTTAAACTGGGTGTTGTGGCACACACCTTTAATCCCAGCACTTAGGAGATGGATGCAGAAGGATCTTCAGTTCATGGACGCCCTGAGCTACAAGGAGATACTGAAATAAACACTAGCCCAGAAGCATTGCTGCAAGTTTGAGGCCAGCCTGGGCTACAGAGTGAGACTCTGTTTCAAAACAACTGGGCTAGTGAAATGGCTCAGTGGGTGAAGGTACTTGTGGCCAAACCTGATGACCTGAGATCAATCTCCAAGATCTTTAGGGTGGAAGGAGAGGACAAAATCCCACAACTTCTCTGACCTCTGTGCACACACACACACACACATACACGATAAGTAAATATGATGATGATGATGATGATGATGATGATAAAAGCAACCTGGCCAAGTGTGGTGGTACATACCTGTAATCCCAGCATTTTGAGGCAGGAGGATACAATTGCAAGGCCAGCCTCACCTACATTATTGTAGGCTAGCCTTGGCTACTTGAGACCCTGCCTCAAAAAGTGGGGAGGGGGCCTTTGGTCCCAGTACTTGGGAGGCAGGGGCAGCTGGATCTGAGTTTGAGGCCAGCTTGGTCTATATCAAATTCTAGGCCAGCCAGGGATACATAGTGAGACTCTGTCTCAAAAAAGAAGAGGAAGGGGATGGGACCTAGGATGTAGCTCAGTTGGTGGAGTGCTTAATGTGCATGAGGTCCTGGGTTTAGTCCCAAGCAGAGCATCTTCCAATGCTAGGATTGGACAACAACTTTACCAGTTTTCAAAAAAGTTTAAAACAGTGTGCTGTATTTATCTTCAGGCGAGGAGGCAGGTTCTGGCTATGTAGCCCAGGTTGGCCTTGAATTTTCCATCCTGCCTCAAGCCTTCTGAGTGCTAGGTTACCAATATGTACCAGCACACTTAATTCAACCTAGTTCAGTTCTCTCTCTCTCTCTCTCTCTCTGATTTTTTCAGACCCAGTTCCGTTTAACCCAAGCTTGCCTCAAACTCACTACATAACTGAGGATGACCTTGAACTTCTGATCCTCCTGTTTCCACTTTCTGGGTACAAGGATTACAGGCGTATGTCACCATGCCCAGTTTTACACGGTGCTGGGGATTGAACCTATGACTTTGTGCATGCTAAGCAAACACTTCACCTGCTGAGCTACAGACCCAGGCCATGTCTCATATTCAAGCTACCAGCAATCCCATTGATCCCGTTTTCTGCCCTCACAAGATCTCCACTCCTGGCCCCTTCTGCATTCTGCACCCCCGCCCCAAACACTAGCTACTTCGCTGGTCCAGCTGACCTGGTTACTTATCTCTACTGATGCATTTGCTTTCCAAGACTCCCCAGCTCAACACTCACCCAGTTAATTTGTTCCCCATTCGACCACGAGAGGGCGCCAGTCCCCACTAATGGCAGCTCCCAGTCCCTGCTTTGTTTTTGGTTTTTCCAGTCTCAGTTCCTAGCTCAGGCTGGCTTGAAACTCCAGGCCTCAGCCTCCTACCTGCTGGGACTGCAATTATGAGTCATCTCTTTTTTCTTTTTTAGAAATACGCTTTTTTTTTTTTTGGTGTTTTTGAGACAGGGTCTCCCTGTAGTGGGGGCTGGCCTTGAATTCAAAGAGATCTGCCTACCTCTGCCTTCCAAGTGCTGGGACTACTGACTTGTGTCACCACGCCTGGCTTTTTGTTTTTTTAAGAATATCTTTTTTTTTTTTTGTCTTTTTGAGGCAGGGGCTTCTTATAGCCCCCGCTGTCCTGGAATTCACTATATAGACCAGGCTGGCCTCAAATTCATAAAGATCCTCCTGCCTCTGCCTCCCAAGTGCTGGGATTAAAGGCATGCGCCACCACACCTGGCTTAAGAATATCTTTTATTGGTCTGGAAAGATGGCTCAGCAGTTAAGAACACTGAATGTTCTTGCAGGAGACCCAGGGTTCAGTTCCCAGAGCCTACATGTTGGCTAACAACCATGTATAACTTCAGATCCAGGGGATCCAACACCCTCTTCTGGCCTCTGTGGGCATTGCACAACAGGGTTTCACTTGTATACATGCAGGCAAAACACTCATACACATAAAAGAAAATAAATAGGGACTGGAGAGATGGCTCAGCAGTTAAGAACACTGGTTGTTCTTGCAGAAGACCCGGGTTTGAATCCCAGCACCCACATGGCAGCTAATAACTGTCTGTAACTCCGGTCCCAGGGGATCCGACAGCCTCTTCTGTCCTCCCAGGACATTTCATGACACGGGTGCACTTACCTACATGCAGGCAATACAGGCATACACATAAAATAAATAAATTAATTTTAAAAATATACTGGTTATGAAAATATTGAAATAGTTTCTCTTCTCAATGGTAAGAGTAGTAAATTTCAATAACCCATATTCCTTATTTTTAAATTACATTTATTCATTTATTATTTATTTTTGGGGGAGAGGGTGTGTGTGCCTCTGCATGGGTGTGGAAGTCAGAGGACAATTTTCAGAAAGTTCTCTCCATTTATCATGTGGGTCTCAGGGGTGGAACTCGGGCTTGGCACCAAGTTGTCTTCATCCAATGAGTCACCTTGCTGACCCTATTATTATTATTATTTGGGGGGGGTTACTCATGTGTAGGGGGAGGGCTCACTCACTCATGTAAGTACGAGTGCATGCCAGAGGCCAATGTCAGGGTTCTCTTCCTCAATAGCTTCTTCACCTTATTTAGGGAGAGTCTCTCATTGAACCTGAAACTCACCATTTTGGCTAGACTTGCTTGCCAGTGAATCCCAGGGATCCTTCTAACTCTGCCCACCCCCAGCAATGGTACCAGTTATAGGTACACACTGCTGAATAAAGTTTTTACAGGGGTACCCATTGAGCCTTCTCCCCATTCCCAATATTTTGATTTTTTGAGACAGGGTTCCATGTAGTCCAAGCTGACCTGGAACTTTCTATGTAATAAGATTGACCTTGAACTCCTGATCCTCCTGCCACTACCTCCAAGTGCTAGGATTACAGACCATGCCCTGTTTATGTGGTGCTGGAGATGGAACCTAGGGCTTGGTGCTCCCTAGACAAGCACTCTATCAACTGAGTCGAATTATAGCTTCTAATTTTTTTTTGAGACAGTCATGTAATATAGCCCAGGCTATCCTCAAATTCTCAATGTTCCTGCCTCAGCCTCCCAAGTGCTAGGATTAAAGATGTGAACCAAAAGAGCCAAACAAGGTGGCACACACCTTTAATCACAGCACTCAGGAAGCAGAGGCAGGCAGATCTCTGTGAGATCCAGTCCATCCTGGTCTATATAGCAAGTTCCAGGCCAGCTGGGGCTACAGAGAGACACTGTCTGAAAAAGACCCAAAATAATAATAATAATAATAATAATAGTTTTTTTAAAAAGATGTGAACCAAAAGAGCCAAACAAGGTGGCACACACCTTTAATCACAGCACTCAGGAAGCAGAGGCAGGCAGATCTCTGTGAGATCCAGTCCATCCTGGTCTATATAGCAAGTTCCAGGCCAGCTGGGGCTACAGAGAGACACTGTCTGAAAAAGACCCAAAATAATAATAATAATAATAATAATAGTTTTTTTAAAAGATGTATACCATCCACCAGGCCCAGAAAATAGTCCTCGTTCTAGTATACACTCATTTGTCCATATTAATTGTGGTGATGGCTTTTTGTCATAATGTAACTCAGTTGATATTAAAGATGCTGATGTATTCTTTTAATTTTCTTTGAGACAGTTTCCTGTAGCCCAGGCTGGCTTTGAACTCCTGCTCCTCCTGCCCCCATCTCTCAGGTGCTGAGGTTACAGGTGTAAACAACCATGGCTCCTGGTTGTTTCGTTTCCTTTAGCTGAGTCAGGGTCTTGCTATGTTGCAGGCCAGCCCTGAACTCCTGGGCTGGAGATACTCCAGCCTCAGTTGCCTGAGTAGCTGGGACCACAAATGCATACAACTGTGACAGGCTTTCTGGACTCATCATTATTTTGTGGTACAATGGATCAAGCCTAGGGCCTTATGCATGCTAGGCAGATGCTCTACCTGTGAGCTACATCACCAGTCTGGTGCTTTTCTTCAAACATCACCCCAGAACTGGGTACGGTAGCACACATTTGTAATCCCAACACCTGGGAGGCTGAGGCAGAAGAATCACAAATTGCAGGCCAGCCTGAGCTACATGGTAACATAGACCCTGGGTCAAGGAACAACGAAAAGCCCTCTATTAAACCAGACGTTGTGGTGCACACCTGTAATCCAGAAACAGCTGCAGAAGGATCATGAGTTTGAAGCCAGCCTGGGCTACAGTTAGACCATCCCAACCCCTCATCACTCCCTTTTTAAAAAAGAAAAAAAGCACACCCAGGAAGTGTGCAGAAGTCACTAGGATGAGGCAAGAAAACACAAAGCTCTGTTCATCCTGATGTTTTTATTTTAAATAGAATAATTTAAGCCGTATTAGTAATAGACTGGCAGTAGTATTTGTACATAATTTATAAATAAATACACACGTGCATGACCAAAAAAGGAAGCTTTTTTTTTTTTTGGTCTTTTTGAGATAAGGTCTCCCTGTAGCCCCAGCTGTCCTAGAACTCACTATGTAGACCAGGCTGGCCTTGAACTCAGAGAACCACCTGACTCTGCCTCCCCAGTGCTGGGATTAAAGGCCTGTGCCACGACGCCCAGCTTAAAAGGAAGCTTTTTTTAAAAATGTTAAATGGCACGGCCTCTCCAAGGGCCCCCTTGGGTACCTTTTCTAGAGTGGGGCAAGTGGGGAAGTGTGAGCCCTGGAATGATGGTCTGAGTTCAAGTCCCTGACTCACCACTTCCTAAATCCTCGGGTACTGGACAAGTGACTTCGCTCACCATTGTGGCCTCAGTTGTCCTCCCTGGAAAATAGACGAGATAGCAGCTGTCACTTAAGGGGGTGGGAGGAAAAACCTGCTGGCTGTAACTCTGAGCACCATACGTCGGTTCCCAGTAAGTTCTCCATTAACGCGAGCTGTGATTACGATTTACCCCTCCTGGCAAGTGGGACAGCAGGTGCAGAGCATTGAGATAAGTGGTAACAAGGGAGCCAGGACCCAAATGCACTTAACCAGAGCCCTCGCCTCCTTGAGCAAGTCAGGGTTCATAGCAGCAGGCACAGCCTGTTGGGTGCTCAGAAGGACGGAGGGTAGGTGGTCATGCTGCCCCGCCTCCCAGAGCGCCTCTCAGATCCAAAGACGGATGGCTACAAGAGGCGCTGGGCGGTCACCCCGCAGTCACCGGAGGTGAGAAGGAGCGGGACAGCCGCGCCCTCTAGTGGAGGAAGCAAACGCAACAGCCAAGGGTCCTGAGGGTTCTAGATACCATTATATGCATTCGGAATCTGAGGGAGTTTGAGGCAGAGAGCGACACTGAGCCACTGGTCCAGACCCACCTAAGTTGTATGTGATAGACTGAAGCTGGCCAGGCTGTCCACCGGATTTCTTCCCAAGGGTCCAGGGTTCTTGGAATCTGAGGCAGACTGTGAGGGGTCCTGAAGGAAGGGCTTGCATCCCTGGGCCTGTCCATCAAAGGTCAGCACTCCCCCCGCCCCCGTTACTGAGATGACCTAGGGGGTCACCACACACAGCCTTCGCTCACAGCTTAAGAACCCGCATGTTGCTTGCATCGCTGGTCGGAGTCTGCTTCCTGCTAATGCCAGGCTCGTCCCGTGGCTCGTCCTCGGTCAATTCACCTCTTTTCTCTCCAGTGTGCGCCCTCCTGCCCAATCAAACCAACCTTCCCATATCCAGAAAGACCCCCAAAGACAAACCAGCTCGCTGTGCCCGGATGTTCCCCCAGCCCCAGATGCAGGCACAAGGACTTCAGCCTCCTGTCAAGCTTAAGAGTGCTGGGTTGGGGTACTCCGGATTCTCGATGACCCCGGGCCCGAACTTGAGCTCCAGGAAGCGGCGATAGTTGTTAGGGGCCTGTGCCACGAAGCCCGCAAAGGGCAGGGGGACGAGCGGCTGCAGGAAGTGCTCCGGGAACTCCACGTCCTGCCGGTGGTCCAGCCACGTGTCCTTGGTCATGACCCCGTTGCGGGGATAGAAGGGCCACAGGTCTACGTGCAGGTGATTGCTTTCGCTGTACTGCACTCGGAAGAAGTCTCCCTCCACCGCCTTCTCCCACACGAAGCCGCGCTCGTCCACTACCGAGCCGGCCTCGGCGCCCCGCAGCTGCTCGCAGTTGCCGACGTCCTCCAGGTAGATGCCCAGGTCCACGTCGTAGTCCCACGGGATGATGTCCCCGTGGCGAGCCGCCCCAAGCAGCGAGCCGCCCTCCAGCCAGTAGCGCACGCCCGCGGCCTCCAACACGCCCACCACGTAGCGCGCTGTCTCCCGCAGCGCGCGCAGGCAGCAAGGCGGCGTCCAGCGCCCCTCGTAGAGGTAGGCTGGCGTGTCCCCCGCCACCGTGCCGAAGCAGCGCGCGCTCTCTTTGCTGCATCCGAACCACTCCAGCCGCCGGCCTTCCCAGCTCACCAAGCGGATGCCCAGCGAGCGTAGCAGCGCCGCCCGCCGCGCGCGCCCTTCGCGCTCCGCCTTCCAGCGCGCGTGGGCCGTGGCCAGCGGGGGCTGCTGCGCCGCGGCGAAGGTCAGGTCCAGCAACTGCACGGCCCAGCCGCGCAGGGCGCTCTGCAGGAAGAGGCTGGTGGTCAGCGGCCGGGCCAGGGGCGCAGAGAGGTTGAAGAGGTCGCGGGCGCGCAGGAGCACCACCGCGTCGCCATCCAGGGCATCGCAGCGCGGCGCGGCGGGCGCCGGGCCGTAGCGGGCAGTCCACTCCCGCAGGCTGATGTTCAGGGCCAAACACCGGGCCGGGTTGGCAGTAGCCACAGGGGCGGCCACCAGGCGCGCGCTGCCCGCCCGGAGCACCTCCACCATGCGCTCCAGTTGGCCTGGAGACTCGGCCCGCGCCCCGTCCGGCACCAGGGCCACGAACTCGGTGGCTACGTAGGTCTCCGGGCGCGAGGCTGCTGCCGGCCGGTCCAGGGCGGGCTGGAGCAGCGCCAGGCGAACGTTAGGGATGCGGGGCAACGCCAGCGGTGGGTAGGGGAGCGTGTCGGCCGCCACCACGATGGGCTGGGCTGGGTCCTGCTGCAGGAAGGAATCCACCAGTTCCGGCACTGAGTTATCGAAGGCCTCAAACTCCCGAATCAGGACGGTGACTCGGGGACCGGTAGCAGAAGCCCGGCGGGGGCCCCGGGTTCGAGAGTTCCTGGGCTGGTGCTGCAGCCATGAGAAATAGATGAAGACTAGGAAGTTGAGCGTGCAGGCAGCTGCCAGGGCAGCCTGGCAGTGGGTGAGCCGCATGGGGCCAAAGTCTGGCCGGGCGTCCAGGGCATCCTGGGGAGGCAGGATGAGAGGGGAGGCTGTAGCAGGTTGTCAGCATGCTTCGCCCCCAACTCCTCAGCCTTGCCCTTCTTCCCAAACCTCGGGGCCCCTCTTTCCCTCTTAACTGATTGAAACCCTCCCAGACTTCCTAGGCTGGCTCAAGAACCTGTTCTGGACTCCTTCAGCCTCCTGGTTTGCCCCAGCCTGATCGCTGGGAATAATCACTTCCTCTGGAGGGGTGCCATCGTTCCCCATTCAGTTACACTTAGGCTAATGAGTGAGAACCTTTTTAAAAAACCAACAACCCAACCAATCTCCCACCCACCCGCAGGATGCTGGCTGCAGCCAGGGGCTAGGGGAAGGGGAAAATAGGGTGTTTGCTGTGTAGTGTTCAGGTTTTTTTTTCTTCCCCCCCACCTTGTGGTGCTGGGGAACCCAGGGCCCTAGGCATGCTGGGTAAGTGCTCTACCACTAAGCCACACCCCAGCCCCTCACTGGGGGATTCTAGGCAGAGGTTTTACCACTGAGCCACACCCCCAGCTCCTCACTGGGGGATTCTAGGCAGGGGCTCTACCACTGAGCTATACCCCCAGCCCCTCACTGGGGGATTCAACCGTACCCTCACAATCTGGTTTTAGTTTTGCTGGATGAAAATCTGGAGGTTTATTTGTTCAACAATGTAAAGGAATGTTTGGAGGGAGGGATTTGAGATGTGGCCCCAGATGGCCTCAAACTAACTATGCAGCCGATCCTAGCCTTGAATTGCTGAGCTTCATCCATCTACCTCCCAAGTGCTGAGTTTACAGGTATGCAACACCAGACCCAGTTATCAAAGTAAGTACTTAGCACCCCTGAACTGTGCATTTAAAACTAGTTAAGACGGAGCTGGGGAGATGGCTCAGCGGTTAAGAACACTGGTTGTTCTTGCAGTAGACCGGGGTTCAAATCCTAGCACCCACATGGCAGCTAACAAGTGTCCATAACCCTAGTTCCAGGGGATCCCACAGCCTCTTCTGACCTCCGTGGGCATTGCAGGACACGGTGCACTTACCTACATGCAGACAATACATGTATACACATAAAAATAATAAATTTTTAAAAAACTAAGATGATGCATTTGGTGTTATGCATATTTGATTACTACTTTTAAAAATCAGAGCCAGATGTGTGGTGCCTGCCTTTAATTCCAGTGCTTAGGAGGCAGAGGCACGTGATCTCTGTGAGTTTGGGGGTCAGCCTGGTCTACATAGCGAGTTCCAGGCCAGCTGGAGCTACAGGGAGACTCAAAAAGACCAAAAAAAAAAAAAGGCTGTCACAGCCAGCCTCCACTCACTGGCTCACACTCCAGGCAAGTCCTGGATGGCACTCTCTCCCTGGTCTGATCACGACTCTGAAGTTTGGCTGGTCTCAGCATGGTGGTGCTAACTCTGGGTTCTGAGGAAGTGCCCAGTAAGTTTTCCCATGAAATTTTTATTTTTCTGCATGCCAGAGATGGAACGCAAAGACCTTCCACATGTCAAGCAAGGGCTCTACCACTGGACCACAACCCAAGACCCCCATGAAAGATTTCTTAAAAGTTTTACCCCTCCTCCAGGTGACAGTGAAGACCCAGCTAATTGTCCTGCATCTAAATACTTCAACCCAAGTCTCCTCAGATTCTCATCAACCTCTCCCAGGGCTCCTGCTCCAGGCTCAGTCCTCTCTGAAGCCACAGGCATCTTCTTAAAGCAAAAATTGACCTTTCCTTCCCATCTAAGAACTTGCCAGGGCTCCCCAGTACTCAGGCAGAAGTGAGTTTTCTGTAATACTCCACTTGCTCACCCATCATCCCGGCTCCTTCATACTGTTTCACGAGTTTTCCTTTTCTTGAATTTTTTGGATTTCTGAGACAGAGACTTTCTATGTAACTTTGGCTGGTCTAGAACTCACTATGTAGACCAGGATAGCCTCAAACTTGTAGTGATCTTTCTGCCTCTTCCTCCTGAGTGCTAGGGTTACAGTGTGTACCAACACACCCAGCATACTAGTCTTATTTCTAAGTGATTATACACTCTGTTGCTTCATAAGAAGGGCTTCCTCTTCAACCCCCATCCTCCCCATATCTCTTCTAAAGAACTTCTATGTTTGAGGTCTCAGCTAATTGGCCCCTCTACCAGGAGCCCCTGCCAAAGCCCATATTGAGTCTAGGAGCAGCCTCCAGACTACCAGACCACCCTGGCCTCCAGTACCCCAGTCCTGCCTGTTCTGATTCATTGTGTGGGAACGAACTACTTTGCCCCTCTAAGATTATATGCCTTGGGAGGGCAGAGCTGGGGCTGACTTTATTACAGCTGTGCCCCTAGGACACAGTAGGCACCAAGGCTGCACCTAGCAAAGAAGTGACTGTCCAGTCATCACAGTGGCACATGCCTGGCCTGTATAATTCCAGCCCTGGAGAGGCTGAGACAGGAGGATTAATTGAGCCTAGGAGTTCAGGGCCAGCCTCTCTTCAAAACAAAGGGGGGTGGATGGGGCTGGAAAGATGGCTCAGCGGTTAAGAGCACTGACTGCTCTTGCAGAGGACCCAGGTTCGATTCCCAGCTTCCACATGGCAGCTAAAAATCATCCTTAACTCCAGTTCTAGGGGAATCCGAAGCCCTCTTCTGACCTCCACGGCATTGCAAGACACAGGTGCACTCACATACATGCAGGCAACACACTCATACACACAAAATAAAAATAATAAAATATTTTAAAAAAACAAAAAAGGGGTGTGGGCAGGAACAATGGTTCAGTGGTTAAAAGCACTGGCTGCTCTTGCAGAAGACCTGGGTTTAGTTCCCAGCACCCATATAACAGCTAACAACCACTGTAACTCTAGTTCCAAAGGATCCAGTGCCCTCTTTTGGCTTCCTCGGGCATTGCACACACATGATACACTTACATACATGCAGGGAAAAAAACTCATACACATTAAATAAATAAATGAACAAAGAATTTTTTTTTTAAACTAAATAGTGACCTCCTAACCTTTAGAGCTTCAGAATCACCTTGCAGACCTTACAGTGATTCTTCCACCCTTCAATCCTTCAGTACCTGTCTGCTGAAATTCTACAACACACTGGGCAATTCTCGGCACTAGACGCACAGACAGCATTTCTGCCCACATGAACTCACTACATGGACAGGGACCTATGGAACCACAGAATCTTCCATGTCTTAAAAATATTAAAATCTGAGCCAGGCCTTTTGTCCCAGGTCCTTGGGAGGCTAAGGCAGGAGGAGTACAAGTTCAAGGGCAGCTTGGGCTACAAGGTTAATTCAAAGGATGCTTGAACAACTACTAACTGTCTCAAAATAAAAAGTAAAAAGAAGCCAAGCGTGGTGGTGCACGCCTGTAGTCCCAGCACTTAGGAGGCAGAGGCAGGAGGATTTCTGTGAGTTCAAGTCCAGCCTGGTCTACATAGTGAGTTCCAGGACAGCTGGGGCTACAGGGTCACCCTGCTTCAAAAAGACAAAAAAAAAAAAAAGTAAAAAGAGCCACACTTGGGAGGGAGCAGCAGGTGAATCTCTGTGAGTTCCAGGTCAGCCAGGACTACACAGTGAGGCTATGTGTAAAACAAAACAAAACAGCTGGGGGCTGTGGCTTAGCAAGAGTGCTTGCCTAGAATTCAATGGGTTGGGGTGTGGCTCAGCTGCACAGGGCTTACTTAGCATAATGAGGTACCCTATGTTTAAACCCCAGAACAAAAACGAATCCCAACAATCACGGGGTCTTGGTAGCTAGTTATCCAGGATTCTAGAGGTGGCCCCTACGTCCTTTTGGAATCTTCAAATCTATGAAAATAAGCAAGAGACCATTTTCTCACTTCCCACCTCGGTCCTTAACAGTCTGGCCCCACCCACTGCCCAGCAGGACTCTGTTACACTCAGATCTTGTTCAAAGCCTCCAGGAGCTCACCTGCACTGAAAGGAGAAACCAGTGTCCTCACAGTAGCCATGAAATCTGACACAGGCACCCATCTTTTCCCATCCATTTATCGAGCTCCAGCCACAATGGCTCCCATTAAGCTCCATTCTTCAAACACAGCCACAGAACTGCCTGTCTAGATACACCTCCCTCACAGTCTTCAGTCTTTGCATTCATCTGTCACCTTCCACAAGCCCTTCCTCTGCATACTCCCCTTCCCCATCCTTGCCTTCTTTCTAATTATTTTTTATTTTCTGTGTATGAGCGTTTTTCCTGCGTGTATGTAAGAGCACCATGTGCACACAATGCGCAAGGAGGCCAGAAAAGAGCACCAGCCCCTATGGAACTGCAGTTACAGTTGTTAGCCTCCCTGTGGGTGCTGGAAACTGAACCCGAGATCCTCTGCGAGAGCAGCCAATACTCATAACTACTGAGCCATCTCTCCAGCGCCCCTGCCTTATTTCTTTACCTTGGTAATTAGAACATTGATTTTCTTTATCTCATTCATTGTTTAAGCCTCCACAGAAGCTTTGGGAATGTGATTCTTATTTTGTTCAGTGCCTGGCAAACAACAAGCGTTCAATAAGAATGTGTTAATGAATGAGTGACCTGAACTGTTAGATGGGGAACCTGGGCCAGTGAGACACCTCAGCAGATAAAGGCACTTGAGACCTAAGTTTGATTCCTGGGCCCCACAAAGTAGATGGAGAGAACTGGCTCCCCCAAGTCCTCCTCTGACTGCCACATGTGCCCATGGCATGTATGCCCCCCACCAATAAGGAAGTAAATACAATAATAATAAAAAAGATGGGGAGCCTGTGGCTTAGTGATGGAAAGGATAGAGATCAGGACCTGAGACTCCACCTAGTCTAAGGCCACACACACCCCTGGTTGACTCTGGGCAAGACGTGCCCAGCAGGACAGAGGGCAGAAACTGGATTCTCAGAGACCAGCGGGTTTGATGACCACCCACTGCTGAGTAAGGAAGGTACAGAGGAGGGCAAGGTGTGGTTGCCCATGCTTTCTTACAATCCCAGCACTTGGGAGGTGAAGGCAGGAGGGCCAAGAATTCAAGGCATCCTTGGCTACATGAGTTCAAGGTCAGCCTGTGCTACATGAAACCCTGCCTCAAAAAAAATTAAAACAGGGCCGGGTGTGGTGGCACACGCCTTTAATCCCAGCACTGGGGAGACAGAGGCAGGCAGATCTCTGTATCTCTGTGAGTTCAAGGCCAGCCTGGTCTACATAGTGAGTTCCAGGACAGCAGCTGGAGCTACAGGGAGACCGTCTCAAAAAAAAAAAAAAAATTAAAACAGAGAATACAGAAGAGTAGAAAGGAATTATATGGAACCCTAACAAGGCTTCCTTGGTTTTTTCAGTGGTAAGAGTTACAAACCCCTTCTAAGGAAAAGTGACAGAATGGTGATTGTGTGTACATGTGGGTATGCATGCATATATGTGCATGTATGCAGTCAACAGTGGGTGTCAATTGCTCTCCACCTTTTAAAAAATTTTGTTGAGGCTGAGCATGGTGGCACACACCTTTAATCCCAGCACTTTGGAGGCAGAGGCAGATGGAGCTCTGTGAGTTCAAGGCCAGCCTGGTCTACATAATGAGTTCCAGGGCAGCTGGGGCTACAGGGAGACCCTGTCTCAAAAAGACCAAAAAAAATTTTTTTTGTTGTTGCTGTGGAACTGGAGAGATGGCTCATCAGTTAAGAGCACTGGCTGCTCTTGCAGAGGACCCAGGTTCAGTTCCCAGCACTCACATGTCAGCTAAAAAGCATTTGTAACAACAGTGCCAGGGGATTCGATGCTCTCTTCTGACCTCTGTGGGCATCGCATGACACGAGTATACTTAAATACATGCATGCAATACAGTCATACAGATAAAAAATAAAAATAATAAAATATTTTTAAAATTTGTTTATGGGCTGGAGAGATTGTTCAGCAGGGGTACTGGCTACTCTTGCAGGGGACCCAAGTTCGATTCTCAGCACCCACATGGTGGCTAACAAGTCCATAGCTCCAGTTCCAGGGGTTCCAACAGCCTCTTCTGACCTCCGCAGACATGGGTGTGCTTACATACATGCAGGCAATACACTCATACACAGAAAATTAAAAAATTTTTGTTGTTATATTATGTGTGTGCATTGGGGGGAGGCATGCCACATCATACATTGAGGGGTCAGAGGACAACTTGGTGGAGTCAATTCTCTCCTTCCACCTTTACGTGAATTCTGGAAACTCAGGTTGTCAGATTTGCACAGCAAGTGTGTTTATCCACTAATTCATCTTACTGGCCTCTCTCTACCTATGTTTTGGGACACAGTCTCTCACTGAGCCTAGAGCTTGCCACTTCAGCTATTCTGGCCAGCCAGTGAGCCCCAGGGATCCCCCTCCACTCCCATCCCACAGCCCTGAGATTACAGGCTTGCCTTCTCTCGCCCAGTGTTTCCTGTGGGCTTTGAGAATCAAACTCAGGTCCCCATGCTTGTGCTGCAAGCACTTTACCCAGTGAGCCATCATCCCAGCCCTGAAGTGCTGATTTTGAAGGCCTGGATTTTTCTTTTTCTTTTTTTTTCTATTCCAGTGCTAGGGATGGAACCTAGGGCCTTGTACATGTTATGCAAGTCTCTACCATTGAGCCTCATCCTCAGCTCTTACATTATTCTGGTCAAGAAATCAATAATTCTAGCAACTTTACACCTCTGCACTCATTTAATCTCATGATGACATTTAAATATGAGGCTCAGAGTAGGTGCTTAGCATATGGAAGGCTGGATCCCGGCATCATTAAAAAAAAAAAAAAAAAAGAGGAGACAGAGAGAGGTGAAGTCACATGCTTGAGGTCACATAGCTGAAAAGATGGGGACATGGATTTGATGCAAGAAGCTAGTTCTAGAATCCTACTTCAAAAGTAAACTTTGTCTTGTTTTATTGAGATAGGGTCTTACTATGTGTCGAAGGCTCATTTTGAACTTGAGAACCTCTTGCTTCAGCCTCTTGAGGTCTGTAATGACACGTGTGCCACCAGGCCCAGTCATCTCTGATGTCTTTCTTGCAGGCAGTCAGCCCTACTCTCTCACTCCATGGTAAGCCTTTCCCAGAACTAACCTGGCAAAGCCAAATATGGCACGTGACTGATCAATCCAAGTCAGATCAACAGGTAAATATTAACAGAGTGCTTTGTGTCACTCTTTTGGGGTTTTGTTGTTGCTGTTTTTTGAGACAGTGTCTTATGTAGGCCAGGTTGGCCTCAAACTTGCTTTGTAGCTGAGGATGACTCTACCTACTGAGAGCTGGGATTACAGGCATGTACCATCATGCTGGGTTTCTACAGTCCTAGGCAAGCACCAAGCTACAGCCCCAGCCCCTGTGTTCTGACATCTGAGAAGGCAGGTAAACAAGAACTTAAGGATGAGGTCAGAGGCCAGCATGAAGACATGAGCCAAAAAAACAGGGCCTTGTCTATAAAAAGTGGCCAAGGAAGGAGGGAGAGTGAAGCTGAGATCTTACTGGTGTCTCCACTCCTCCCCCAAACAGTGTATGTGCTGGGTGTGTGGTGTTGAGTGCTTGTAATCCCAACACTTAGGAGGCAAAGGCAGGAAGATCAAGAGTTCATGGTCATCCTTGGCTACATAGTATGTTTGAGGCTAGTCTGGGCTACATGAGACCATCTCAAAAACCCTAAACCAACCAATCACCACCACTACCAACAACAACAACAACAATAACAGTGTATAAGGGCCAGCAAGATGGCCCAGTAGGATGGGTAAAAGTACTTGCCACCAAGCCTGACCTGAGTTCACTCTCTGGGACCCACATAGCAAAAGGAAAGAACTGACTCCAGCAAGTTGTCTTCTGACCTCCACACATGCATTGTCAAATACACAGACACACACACAAACACAAATAAATGAAAACTTTTAAAATTTAAGAAAAGGGGGGAAGAGATTGGTCAATGGTTAAGAGCACTGCCTGTTCCTACAGAGGACCTGGGTTCAGTTCCCAGGACTCAGATCTTTTGTTTTCTACCTAGCAGCTAATACCTGTTCTCAACACTAATTCCAGAGACTCTGACACCCTCTTCTGGTCTCTTGGGGCATTACACACACACACACACACACACACACACACACACACACAAACACACGATACCCTTACATGCAGGGAAAATGCTCATGTAAAATAAAATAGAAATAAAATCTTTAAGAAAAAGTGCATATAGATGTTTCACTCTGGCTGGGTGTGGTGGCACACGCCTTTAATCCTAGCCTGGTGTACGTAGGCCAGCTGGGTCTACAAAGAAAAAGAAGTATCACTGTCATTTGGCCTGAACCCCATCATCCACAGTAGGTAGAAAACAAAAGATCTAGGATATCTTAAGGAAAATGTTAGATGGAACAAAGAAAAACCTCTGTTCAGGAAACTGCAGTAGCCAAGTGATTACTGAGACATCGCAGGACTTCTTACCTCCTAGATTGCAGGCTGAGGGTGTTCTAGGAGGGTGGTTCCACCCCAGCTCAGCTGCTCTGCTGAAGGAAGGACCAGAAAACATCAAATGAGCCAACTCCGCCAAAAGCAGCATCTATCAAGTCAAGGAATTTTTTTTAAGTTCCTTAAACTTGGGCATCACCCAGCATCTCTCAGGAGTGGGATGGGTAATAGGACACGTTATCAGTTATCAATAGCAACTTATAATCATCCCTCTGCCACGAATGTGTCCAGAAAAAGGTAGGGCAGATGCTGTTACCATGGCAACCCCTTCCCTAGAAACATTCCAGCCTCTGGAAACAATCCTAAAACATCTTCTTAGTGGACCTGGTTCCTAAGGTCACTAGGTGGGCGAAGGCCCTATGACAGTAACCAGGGCTTGTGTCTCATCTCCTTGGGCATGGGCCAGGTCCGGTAACCATAGCAACTGTCCCAGAGTAGCGCTTCTCTAAATAAAAACACCTGGTTGGTTTGGTGCATAGACCTCCCACATGGGGAGATGGTTACCATGGTAATGCCAACTTGGGGAGGGGGGTCGTTGGGGAAGGGTTGGTGTGCAGAGACTGTTCTCTTAAAGGTTAGTGTCCTTGGGGCTGGGGTCTTTTCTACCTGAGCACTAGTTGAGGGGTAGTTGCCATAGTAACTGATGAGGGGCGGGTCAGAAGGACCACCAGGGACTTGGGGTTACCTTAGCAACCTCTTCCTGGTGCAGACACAGGAGAGATTTGGGGCTTTACATACATAAAAGGGGAGAAGGCTGGGGGATGCCTCCAGGTTGGAAAGGGTTACTATGACAACCGACATGGCCAGGCATCAGAAAGGATGGAGCCAACTCCTGAAACCACCCCAGGTGGTCTCTCTGTGCGTTTGGGGTTTTTCTGGTTTTAGAATGAAAGCGATTGTCCAAGGGGGGATATTTGCGGGGAGGTGGGGGGAGTGAGGGTCTCTGGTTGGGGAAAAGGAGGCAGAAAAATAAGGCCCCGTTCCAAGCTCACTCATGCGAGGGTGACACACACTTAGCGGTCCCCGGGTCCCTTGCCCCCCTCCCTCCCCGGTCAGTACCCCCGCGCGCGCACGCGCACCTTCGGGGTCTACCGGGTGGGCGAGGCTCGAGCCCGGCCAGGAGCTCTGCTCTGCTCACCCCCGCT